GCTAATCCTCAGATCGAGGCTGCGCGCATGTCGCTAATGTCCGACGGCACGCGGTATACTGTGTATCTGACGCCTGCCGAGGTTGCAGCGTCTGGCGCTGTGGCCGATGCTGACGGCGCCGCATGGGAAGAGACCGTGCGCAGCGAATCGGATTTGCTGTTTGAGTGTCTCGATATGATGTTCCTCGGACGAACCAAAGTCTCGTCGCTTATGCGCGTAGCTGCGTTTGCCAAACGTGTACTAGTAGGTGCGCTGTACTGGCCGCCGCGCACAGCTGTACGAGCCATTGACTTTGTGCGGCGACTACTGCTCAAGTATCCGACGCTAGATCGCCTGTTCTCGTCTGAGGAGCAGGCCGGCAGTGGGCTGTACTTGCGCGACCTGGATGACCCTGACATGTGCAATCCCTTTGCCACGTGCATGTACGAACTGCACTGGCTTCAGATCCACCACCATCCGACCGTGCAGGCGGCGACGGCGCGGCTGCTGGCGTTTGCCAAAGCCGAGGCCAAAAAGCACCAACAGTAATAGTAAAAAAGGACAGTCTCCCCTGGGCTTTTAATTTTCCTTTTTCTCCTTTTCCGAGTACATTTATTATTTAATTTGCTCTATTAGTGTCTTTGAATTGGAACGCGTCCTCTTTTTATTTTCTTGTATATTAACGCGTAGACGAGGCATTTCGCAGCAATTTCGACAAAAGTAGGTTGCATCGGCAAGCGGGTTGGTAAAATAAAAAAGAACGGGCCGCAATTGCAAAGCATAAAACAAGCCAGTGGTAATAGGGCGGCCCTGTATATAATGTCGGCGAGCGTGGCCACCGGGGCATCACTAAAGGCACACATGAACACGACACGATCACTATCAGCGTCTCCAGACATGGATGACTTTGAAGACGAGCTGCAGCAAGAGCTCGAGAACGAAATGAGCGCGTCGTATGATAACCTGTTTAGCGAAACAGAGGATTTCAGCGACGGGTCAGAATTGTTTGGCGAGGGAAGTGTGTCGGACAGCGACAAGGACAAGAACTCGGCGTCGGACAGCGACAAGGACTCGGCATCGGACGATGATGACTTTGAGGCTGTTGATTTTGATTTGGATACGTTCCAGGCCGAGCTGGAGGGTAACCTTAGCGCCGATACACAGCCGCGCAAACGGCCTCGAAGTATGGTGCATATTGGCGACAACGATTTGCTTGAGCGATTTCAGGACGAGAATCCGTCGCTGATGCTGCATTTGTTTGATTCACACTTTCGGTTTGATAGCCAAGAGGGCGTGTTCTTGTACAACGGACCGATGCGGTTTTTCTTTGATGCGCTCAACGAGGGTACGATTCCCATAGATCTGGTCGATGTGCTGACGCAGGTCAACTGTCGCTTCTTTGACGGGTGCCTAATTGTTGAAGTCCATGATCACCGGCAGCCAGCACAAGAGCAGCGCACAAAGAAGCAGCGTATGAGCGAGCTGCTCACATGGACAGCCGACGGCGGAAAGATTCCAGAGCCTGGGACCATGGCGATCAGTGCTGCCAACACAGCCAAAGTGTACAAGAAGGTAATGCGCCCGACGCCCGAAACATTCCATCTCGACCTACACTTGTCGTGTGAGCACAGTCGGACGCGGCTGAGCGGAGACGATATTCTCGAAGTGGAGAGCATGATTTTGCTGGCAGTCGAGCCGCCGCTGGATCTAGAACCTGACTTCCAAGTCAGCCGGCTGAGCAACGCCATTCGATATATTGAATACGGTCATCTGCTGCCTCGCCGTCCACGCAAATACAACTCGGCTGAGATTGAAGCCGAGCAGGCAGAGCGCGAGGAGAAGCTCAAGCTGCTGACTCTAATGGACGACCGCACTACGCGCGACTTCCAGCCTAGCTTTAGCCGCGTGTCGCAGGTCAACGAGTGGCGGCACAAAAAATATGTTAATGACGCCGATGTGTATCCAGCCGCTGTGGCCCCGGGCAAGAAGCCGCCTGTGAAGAAAGGCCGCAGCCAGATGTCCGTACTTGCCGACGGCCGCAAAGTTATCCGCACGCTGCGGTTTAGGCAGACCATCAACAGCCGGACGGTGCACACGGTCTTTCACGTGGTCGAACTTCCCGATTCGCAGGCCCTGCAGGGAATTATGCGCTGGGGCACCTTGCTAGATACTTCGATCAATGGAGGGTCCAAAGTGTTTGCGTTTCCGAATGAGGACATTATGCATATGCACATTGACAACTTTAAGCTGTTGCTGAACATTGAGAACAACCAGCTTATCTACGACTCTATGTACTACAACGGCCAGCCCACGTCAGGGCCGCCGCCTGCACAGCCGACATCACCCACACCTTCAGCTTCTTCTCCAACTGTAAAGTCCAGCACATCCGTGGCCAAAGCTAGCGCACGCAACTCGCGCAAGAACTCGCCGCAGCCCAAATCGGCACCAAAGAGCGTTGAGCCCGAAGGCGACACTGAGGACACTACGGTGCGGCAAGAGTCGCCGGTAAGCGTAGCGTCACAGGAGACACCAGTAACGCCGGCAGCGCCAACCAACGGAAAGGTCAAAAAGTCGCGCAAAGAGAAGAAACCGCGCAAGCCGAAAAAGGCCAGCACCGTGGAGCCCGAGGATAATGGCGATGAAGATAAGCCGGTGGTGCA